CACACACACACACACACACACACACACACACACACACACACACACACACACACACACACACACACACACACACACACACACACACACAAGCGAACACACACATACATATTCAGCAAATGATATTAATACATATTTCTATATCATTTCACTTTCTACATAGTGATGCATCCAATCACTGTGATCATTATCTCAACTTAACAAATTGATAACTTAAATAATTGATTGACTGACTTGCTGGCACACACACGTGCACACACACACACACACGCACGTGCACGTGCACACCACACACACACATAAACACGTGCACACGTACATACAGAAACAAACACACCCACACTAGCACAGAGACCAAACTCATACACGAACTCACACTGCTGCTCAACTGCCTATTTTATACAGATACAGACATGCACACATACAAACACACACACACAGACAAACACATACACACGCATACACAAACACACACACACTTACACTGCCCACCGGCCACCCATTTGATACCGATCCACCATATTGGGAACATGGTGGCGTGGTGGTAGACGTGCAGAAAGGTGATCTGACTGTTCTTCTTACGAAGGGCAAACAAGATGGTGTCAAAGAATTCCACTAATTTCGAGATGTAAAACCACCAGAGAGCTTTGGCTATCTGTATGTACGTATGTAAGTGTGTGTTTGTATGTTGTTTTGTATTTGTGTTTAAGGTTATTAGTATGTTTGTATGTGTGTGCGTGTATTTGTATGTGTTTGTGCATTTATGTATGTCTGTGTATTTATACACCTATGTATGTATGCATGTTTGTATGTGTATGCTTATTTATATATGTATGTATGTAGGTGTGTATTTATACACCTATGTATGTATGTATAATTGTTTGTGTGTCTGTTTGTGAGTATGTGTATATTATTGTGTGTGTGTGTGTGTGTGTGTGTGTGTGTGTGTGTGTGTGTATTTATATGCCTATGTATGTACAGTTATAATATTAATAATGATAATAATAAAGACTGACACTAATTTCGTCGGGATTGTCTGAGTAGTCAACAGGTTGGCAACTGTAACTATACCTCCTTCTCGTCGTAGCAGTTATTAGCTGAAAGGTTCATTATGTAATTATTTTTGAAAAATATTATGAAAAAATTAAATTTTAAATAATAATAATAAAAAAAACAAATAAGCCAAAACCTGAAACCAGATATGAAAGTTAAGGACCACCAATGTAACGTTGTAAGCGAGCATCGCCCAGTAACAAGAAAACGGCTTCCTATTCTCCATAAACTTGACAGTTGCATAAACAGCCAACAGGTACATCACTGTTAGGGCGATCGACGGCCAGTAGTTGGACATCAGCAGCCATTTTTCAACTCTGGGGTCTGAAAAAAAATTAAAATTAGACTTATCACTAAAGTTAGTGAAAAGGTAAGCGTAAGAGCCTAGGAGGTGATCTTTCTGAAGCTGAACTAACTTTACTGATCTAATTCACTATAATAATGACTATATTGATTGATTAAGAGCAAATATAAAAATTAATTCAGATTTAACAAAACTTCGACGTGAAAAATATTTTTTAAATTTAAATCGGTAAAGTTAAATCTGAAATCAAAAAAATAAAGAAAAACAAAATTTAAAAAAAAGTTCAAACCGGCTCGATCGAGATAGTACAAATACCCGTCCCACAGACGATGAATTTCGTACATTAAAACTTCCATATTTATTTTAATTTTTTTGATAATTTTTAAAATTTAAACATCAAAAGACGCTTTTGTCTACAAGCAAAAAAAAAAGACCATTCGAAATAACAAACTTGTGTTGCTAACGTCAGTAAACTAGCTACCACAAAATAAAAACAATTACTCCAAATCCATATTAATCATATATTCTTTGCTCAGTAAGTATTTCATGATTATGAATAATTTTCATACACATTTAACAAATTTTACTGCATATTTGTGACAAAAACGAAATTTAGAAATTACACTTCGCAAATGAAAATTACTATTTTAGCACCTTTTTATATGAAAATCACAACTGAATGTAATTAAATCTCTCATTTCATAGTCATAATCTCGCATATATATTAACGTTATTACGAAATGACATTTTAGCATTGTTATGCGTTAAAACCGGGCTTTGTAAATAGTGGACAAATGGATATAACCCCATATAGAGTTTTATTAATTGCAATGATTTGAGGTCATATTTTAAAATGCAAAACAAAACAATCTTTCTCAGTTTATTTGCTACTGCCCTTCCAAAATGTATTCCAATTATATTGTTTATTTAATTTTATTATTTAGTTCCTTTAAACAATCTTCAAAATCCAGAAATTCAAAAACCTCTAGTTATCCTTCTCACTAAAACACACATGCATACAAACTCACACGAACGCACGCACACACATACACACGCACATATTTTCATGTTAAGTTCATTTTATTATTTATTCAAAACCCAAAATTTAGAAATCCCAAAAATCTTTAGTTGTCCTTCTTGACCCATGTTCGAATGCTGTCCATAGGCGGTTTTTCCAAATATGGCCTCCCCTGTTTCTTCCTCTCTGCTTGCATTGCATGGAATCTTCCAATCTTATAATGGAGAAAATATAACAAAATATAATAAAATTTATAATATTAATTTATTATAACAATAATTTTAATTCAGCACTAATTAACTTGAGTAGGTATAATTATGACATGATTTTTTATTGTTTAAAATGAATTGTGTCATCAATTTGTGGTCATAAGAGTAATGACTATGAAAAAAATTACATAGAATATAAAACCTTAGTATGAAGAGTAAGATACTTACTGATTTATTCCTAAAGATACACTCATTGAAATCTTCAAAAAGTTCCTTGCAGACTTTCATGCCCTCCTTGACCCCAACCCTGGATGCACACAGACTCCAATCATATTCGTAATCGGCGCAGGGACTTCTCTGCCAGGTCATCCAGTGGGCACTAACTTTGGTGTAAGGAGTTTCTATGAAAGGTGTCATCACGGGCATGCTGTCATAGGCCGCTAGCTCGGGGTCCCTTTTCAACAGCGGCATTATTTCCTTTTTGCTTTTTATATTTCAGTCTGCAATATATAAAAATAAAATTATAACAATATTAATTATAAATTATATATATATATAGATATCTATAAGATAGAATAATTTGGCAAAATCAAAGATAACATAAAAATAAAACTTTTTTTAACTTAACACATTCATTAAATTAAAGATTAAACTATTAAAATTATAATTAATAAATTCAGTATTTGATTGAAAAAACAACTAAACTAAAACAGCTTAAAACATCTAAATCAGAGCAGAGGCCATGAGGATATAATTAACTATTTTTAAATGAATAAATAATAAAAAGTAAAATGAACAGAACGGCCGATCTGAACTTTTTTTATTTTAATTTTTCTCACCATAGGCCCTTTGACATTGAATTTGATTTTGAGATCAGCAGTATTACCACAAAAAATACAAAAATTTATGAATTCTTTCATGAAATAAATTGGTTTAACGTTTAAATATTTTTTAAATATATATATATAAATTACTCACCTATCCTAAATTGACAAAAAAAAAGAGATTTCAAACGCAAAACTCAGAGGCGATATAATCCAAAACGAACGAAACCATATAAACATTTAATAATGGTCTGACTAATTGGCAGATTTGCTTTATAAAGTTAAAAAGAAGTCGGTAGATAGAAGGGGTAGAAGGGGTAAAAGGGTTTTTTCCAGCTTTTCCTTGATCCACAAAAAGAATGACAATCTCCATGTTTTATTTTTTATTATCTTTGCCCAAACACTCGTTTATTTAGGCAAAGGCTTAGCCCGGAAGACAAAAAATAAGATAAGAAGATATCGAAGTCAGCAGGGCTTGTCCGCAGTACCCAGTGGTTACTAACTGGTGGTTCCTCATGTAAAGGTTTGCTTAAATGAAAGGATCTGAAAGCAGCTGTTACGTGCCAGCTTATGTTCATAAAAAGTTTAAGATAGCTTTAGTAAGATGCTTAAGTAGAATTAATTATATAAATTAAGCAATTACCAAGTAAGAATGTTTCATTTTTTTTCATTATAGGTGACACAATGTATACCTTGGTCTACAAACAAACGAACGAACGATCAAATGGACGAAAGAACGAACGAACAAACGAACGAACAAACCGATTGAATAGTTTATTGATCGACTGACATATCGTTTAATTAAAAATTACAACATTTTTAGAATGTTATTAATGGGTAAAAATAGAAAGAATGATTCACGGAGAAACAAGTATGTATCCAAAAATGAGTATTTCACTAAACTATATAAGTAACATGGTAGAGATTGAAGTTTCAGATATGTTTGTGATTGTTTGTCTGTTTCAGCGCGCGTGTGTGTGTGTGTGTGGTGTGTGTGTGTGTAGTGTACGTGTGCATGTTTATAATTTCATTTGAAATACAATAACGCTAAAACAGTTTATTTAAATACGAAATAACGACGACAGATTAACAAGATGATATAATCGATAATCGAATCGAATTCGGTATTGAAAATAATCGAAGGTACATCTCTACAAAATTATTAAATATAACATTTTCAAATTATCAAATCAATCAATCAATCAATCAATCAATCAATCAATCAATCAATCAATCAATCAATCAATCAATCAATCAATCAATCAATCAATCAATCAATCAATCAATCAATCAATCAATCAATCAATCAATCAATCAATCAATCAATCAATCAATCAATCAATCAATCAATCAATCAATCAATCAATCAATCAATCAATCAATCAATCAATCAATCAATCAATCAATCAATCAATCAATCAATCAATCAATCAATCAATCAATAAATAAATCAATCAATCAATCAATCAATCAATAAATCAACCAATCAATCAGTCAATCTATCTATCTACCGACCGACTGATCAACCAACCAGCCAGCCAACTAACCAACCAACCAACCAATCAACCAACCAACCAGCCAACTAACTAACCAACCAACCAACCAACCCACCAACCAATCAACCAAACCTGCAAACCAACCAATCAACCAACCAACCAATCAACCAGCCAACACTTATTCATTCAAATTGCTGTTCGACTACTAGACCGAGTATGATTAAAATTGAACTCTCTGCTACCGTTATTATTATTATTATTACTGTAACTATAATAATTATTATTATTGTTATTATTATGCTCTTGCTCTCTGAAGCTACTACTTCTAAAATCTGCCCCGCCCACCATCTGCAGCTGCTCCAGCTGCTGCTGCTGCTGCTGCTGTTGCTTGCCACAGTGCAACGTTCTACACAGTGCTGATCTAGAATAATATCCAATAAAAATATAATAATAAAATAATTATTCGTGATAATATTTATTTGTAATATTGGTAATATCTTTTAACAATTCACACTTAGGACTTGTTTAGAGTTACTATCGATAATTGTTAGTGCATATGATGGACAGAGATTTCTTTGCATTCAAACCAGGTCAACGTGCGTGAGAGCAGTGCCAGGCGTCTTACCCACTGCGCCATAACTTCGCCGTAATATAATACTAACAATAACATTTCTATATTTATTCATAATATTTAGTAATTAATAATCACCGAAATTTACGGCCTGTCAAGGAGAAGAGAATGAGGTTGCAAGCGTAGTGGGAAAGTGCGATTTCATAGGCCACAGTCTGGAAGTAATAATAGACGATGTACCTCTGCCACTGGTGGTTCTCCACAATTTCTTGGTGGGTAGTATTCAGGGAGGGCCCCTCCTCGAAATAATTCTCCAGTGAGTACAGTATAGCCGGGGGTAGGGTTGTAAAGATGACGTAGAAGGAAACCGATAGCAGCATGACGTTTGTAGCCGCGGCCGATCCGACGTTGGCGTGGCTTTTCGTGTGGTTGTGTTGGTGGTCGTGGGTTCGACTGCATCTCGAGACGCTGCTGCTTAGTCTTTTTAGGCTGAAGCTACTTGCGCTGTTGATGTTGTTGTTGGTGAATTTGTTGTTGTTGTTGTGGTTGTTGAGGTTGTTGTAGTTGATGTTATCTGCGGAACGTTTTATGGATGATAATGACCATTTAGAGTTGCGTTTCAATTCGGTCATACTTTTGTTAAGGTTGCTGTTGTTGTTGTTGTTGTTGTTAGTGTTGTTGCTGCTATTAATTGTGACGTCATTGTTGTTGTTGTTATCGTCATCGTTAATGTTGTTGTTGTTGGTGGTGTTGGTGGTGCTAAAATTATTAACGCTCAGAGTATTCTGGCTGTTTCTATAAATATTTCCATTATCACTCTCGTTTAGAATAACAACGACATTATCGCTCTTCTGTTTGCTGCTGCTGTTGTTGTAGCGGCTGTTGTGGTTGTTGTGGCTGTCGTCGTTGTGGTTGTCGTTGTTTTTACGGCTTAGGTTTTTATAAATAGGCCTGCATGATTTACTGAACGACTGTTTACGCTGTTGTTGATGTAGAAGTAGTTTATGTTGTGGAGAGTGCTGTTGATGTGAATGCTGTTGACGTAGCTGTTGATGCTGCTGCTGCTGAGGAAGTAGCTGCTGCGACTGCGATCTAACTCCAGACATGGAAACAGACAATCTCGAGTGTTGCTGCTGTAGCTGCTGCTGTAGCTGCTCTGGCGACGACGACGAGAGTCTGTATATCTCCCTAATCACTCTCAAGTTGATGATCAAGTTCAACAGAGGGACCAGTAGAAAGACTATTGACTCGGTACACGAGGTCCACCTCGTCCACAGAGGGTCAAGGACGTTTTCCCTGACCATGCACTTCTGATTGGTTGGTGAAAGTTGTTTTGTTTTCATGGCGCAATTTGAATGGTTAAATTGCGTATCGGTGGAACATTTTTGAGTTCGCCGAGTGTACGTGGCTATGAAATTATTGATTAACAACAACAACAGCAACAACAGCAACAACAACAACAACAATGGAAATAATAGTTATAATAAAAACCTCCGTATTGTAGTCATAAGTCCAGAAGTATGCCTGTATGAAGCAGAGGCTTAATGATAAACTCACCATACCCATTACGACCTTGTATTATTTTTATTATCATTATCATTATCATTATCATTATCATTATTATTATTATTATTATTATTATTATTATTATTATTATTATTATTATTATTATTATTATTAGCAGTAGTAGTAGTAGTAGTAGTAGTAGTAGTAGTAGTAGTAGTAGTAGTAGTAGTAGTAGTAGTAGTAGTAGTAGTAGTAGTAGTAGAAGTAGCAGTGGTAGTCATAGTAGTAGTATAGTGAAATACAGACGAGTTTGTCATCATCTTATCATCGTTATTTATATAGACTTTATTGATAACGCTATCGTCATCATCATCATCAAAATCACTATAATCAATACCATCTTCTACCATCATCATCGTCGTCATCATCATCGCCATCATCATTATCATCGTCGTCGTCATCATCATCATCTTAATGGATTTAAACCTGAATGGCTCTTTTGACCGTGCAGTGTTTATGCTTTTTGAATGGGTAACATATAGCTATGTATCTAGAAAATTGATGACAACGACTATGATGATGATGATGACGATGGAAAGGATCATGATAATGATGATGATGTTGATGATAATGATGATAAATAATTAATTATTATTGTTTCTATCATCATCATCACCATCATCGTCGTCACCATCATCATCGTCATTGTTATTATTTGCACAATTTGATAGCGCTAAATAACTAATTATGATTTTTAATCCTTCATTTATCATTCCTCATCGTCATCATCATCATCATCATCATCATCATCATCACCATCATCATTAACGTAATCATCACAACTATCATCATTACCATCACCTGCGAAACCATCATTATCTTTATAATTATCATCACGCAATTCTAACTACAGCATAATTACCGCTATTACAACAACTTGTAAAAAAACCGACAAGAACCGAAACAAAACCGATACAAAACCGAAACAAAACCGTTACAAAACCGACCGACCTGTCTACTGTAAAACACAGGGCCAAAAACGGTGCCATATACTGTGCGGCCAGAAATAGAACT